CTGCTTTTTCCTAATCCTTACATAAAACTAAATATATCGTCCAAATGCAATGACATATCCGCGTTTTTGGCCTAGAGGCAAATACCTTTTCTTTAAAAATATGAATGGGAACGAAAGGGCCAACCTGTCAGAGTCAATAGCACTGAAATTGAAAAGACACGGAACCTGAATGTCCGAAATAAATAAATTTTGCTAATCCTGAATCTGTGTCTTTTTTAATTGAGTTTGTCAAAGAAAAGACGTTAAGGTTTAAAGAAATGATTCAAACGAATGGTCTTTCTTCCATGCTTCGCCAAGATACTGAGATTCAAGATTCAAGGACCTTTAAACACTTGATCACTAGTGCGCAATACGTGATTCAATGGAGGTTCTGAGTAATTAAACACAGTGTCAACAGTAACAAATAGAATCTAAATAATCCTGACAAAACCTCGGGACTCTGGAACAAATGACATGACCCTACCTTGAGTCGTTCAACGCAATAGAGCTCCGAAAATGTCTCCACTAGGAAGTTCTAGTCTATATACGTATTCACTATATGACTGGAGGGCATTCAAAGGTCCGCTTTTTTCTTCACCTCTCTAGTATCCATCCGCAGTTTCCCGCGGTTTTTCCAATAAATTCTTTAAAACATTTAAGAAGACAAAACGCTTAAATATGTCCTACAAGATTTACGTTTGATCATAAATTCATGTTTACGTTTGAGTTTGCACGTATATACTCCGATTGAAACTGACATAAGGTAGGAACTATTTTTCGGAAGTAACAGTGTACAGGTGTACTAAGGTTTTCCAGAACGTTCCGCGTGTGCAGACCGGAAGTGAACTGGGCTGTGCCATCTCATGGTTTCGGTGGTGGGGGTGGCACTGAACATTCCAGATTCTAATAGTCTGATTTGCAAGAAGTTCTTTTGGAGAATATTTCTAGAGAGAGTGAGAACAAAATTGACGAATTCATGAATTAATGCTAGCTTTAGATGGGTTTTAGCGTCGGCATCGAATATTCCAAATTCTGAGTGTTTAACGCAAATATGAATACAAACGGACTTGGATTTATGTTTCTATGATTTCTGTACGTACTACACATCTGTGTCCATAATATCACCAGGGTCCATAATATCACCACCTTGAGACATAGTGTACTATATTTTTACTGCAACATACCCTAGGTATGTACATTTGATGTGTGAAGGATTGCATACCAAAAGTATGTTGCAGTAAAAATATCTTTAAGCACACTATTTCTCAAGGTGGCGATATTAGGGACCCTGGTGATATTATGGACACAGATGTTACCTATGTTAATGTTGATGTTTATGTTCTGGTGTCTTATAAGCCTATTATATATGGGCTGGGCGACAAAAGTCGCAAGACACGTAAATAAAAATTAATTGATTCATTGATTGATTCATTGATTCATTCGTTCATTCATTCATTCATTCATTCATTCATTCATTCATTCATTCATTCATTCATTCATTCATTCATTCATTCATTCATTCATTCATTCATTCATTCATTCATTCATTCATTCATTCATTCATTCATTCATCCAAAAACGATTCATTGGGGATAACAGTTAAGTTACATGCATTACAAGCAGCAGTGGTCTTGTGCATAAGCTATTATATTGATGCAAAATCAGTATTCCAGCCAACAAACAACTATAATAAACTATTTATATAGCAAAAGGACATCATATATAATGGACATATCACAATAAACGGATTTCCACATGTAACGTTATATATATTGAGCTATTATAGCCATATTAACCGAATAAATTATGAAAACTACCATAACATTCACCTAATCAAAACACATCAAAGTACTTCGAATAGAAAATGAATCTGATAGATGTACAGACACATAAACACCGCTGCATTTGCTCCTGTTTCCCAAAAATAAGATTGGAATGTGGACGTGGTAGGCTCTCAAAAAAATTGCAATTTAAGGGATGTAGACTTGAGCACCTCTATTGGTGAATTACCAAAGCATAACGTTATAAGTTATTCCCTACAATGGCTTTATAGTTTTGGGGAAATGTCTCAAATATCTCCTGATCAGCTGTTCTTCAAATGCGCCTTTTACTGTTTTCTTCCACAAACGGCAACTAGAAATGTTAAGCTGTTCAATGGAGAGAAGCTTTGTGAGACTTATATACTGGCAAGTGTACTCTGTAGCCTTTATTTGTGTCTGTTTTTCTGTCATGAAAACCTATACTGACAAGAATAATCACAATTCATACCGGTCCGTTTCCCTTGCAGCTAGAACCACCTGTTGTTGAAATCGACATGTATCAAAAGCGCCCCGGGGCGGTCGTAAACAATCACTGCAGTGATAAAAGCTGCTCAGCTAAGGTTATGTTGCAGTACCGCATTGAACTTTTGATCCATGCGATTCACCTTCGTTGCTTTTCTATAAACTTCCACTTCGCAGTCTGGTATTTTCGTGTATTGGGTTGAATCCGTTCGGAGCTTTCCAATGCCTACTTGGTAGGATTTTTGCCACCGCGCAAAAAGTTGAATTCTCACGTCACCGGACAAAACTCGCGACAACTCCGTACTCCCAGCCCCCCAGCCCGGCCCGCCACAGTATACGATATACGATAATAATAAATGGTTTTTATTGTCCAAACAGTACCCGTGCAGTCGCAGCCTTTATACGGCTGAATTGATGCAGGGTATCACATAATAATCAATACAAATCACAACAATTACAACATTCAAATAATACAAATGATACACATATTTGTTCCACAATTATTTTGTGGAACTGTCGCAAGGGTCTGTGCGGCTGCCACTCAGCGCCACAAGGTGACCTCAATACGGCTTTCCCCAACCGAAGTTAGGTACCCATTCACACCTGGGTGGAGTGAGGAAAGTCGTGTAAAGTGCCTTTCCCAAGGGCACAACGTCGGGGCGCATGTCCAGACATGTACCGGGTACGACTCGGAATCGAACCCGGGTCTCCCGGTTCACAGTCGATTGCTCTAACCACTACACCACCCGACGCCGATGATGAGGAAAAATTGTGACGTATAAAAAGACTGCCAGAAAACTGGGTATGGAACAGATTCAACATTCTACATTACTTTGAGAATCCAGTTTTGCCACCCCGAAATTGCATTGGATGCCTTTAAGCCAGCTCTCGAGTCTCGAGGTATACCGTGGGGTGTACCCGTAATACGGATTGATTAGTAAACCTGAGGCGGGCATTAGAACATGATAGAAGGGTGGTACAAACAGCTGGGCCGGGTCCCAGAGGACACGCATTTCAAATCTATCAATACCAGCGTATATGCGGCCTTTTGTAGCACCCCGATATGACGTTTTGTTTTCTTCTCGTCTAATCCTCTCTAGTGTCCGTTGAATGCGATCTTCGCTAGTGCGTCTTCTATATACAGCCTGGGTGCCAGACTGTTGCCGGGGCCAGTAATATACGTACAGGCTAGCTCCTCGGCTTCAAGGCCAACCTGTCCCCAAGGAAATTTTATCATAGACTCCCCTTAGCTAGACGCTGAACTGGCACGACTCCGCCGCACGAGAGATAAATTTAAAATTAGACCCTGGGAGCCAACTCTGGGATCGAGCTTGTGGCTTCCCCCGGCCGAAGGTAAAAAAAAACGCCGGGGTAAAAAAAATAGCTTGCAGAATTCGGCTTGGCGTACGCAGGTACGCAGAGTAAACATAAACATAACGTAAACATCTAAACGTAATAACAGGCGTGATGCATCCGTCACCATTATAATTCATACACTATATAGTAATGAATGAGTGAAAGACTTGTATTTAAAGATTTACTTGTACCTTTATGCTCTTACAAGCTACGCAATTTAGGATTGCAGTTATATCTTACTACAACTATACAGACTATTGTGGACTGTTATGTGTTACTTGCGATGGTAGAAATGTCTAAACAAATGGTTTTGATATTGGGTTGTCTGTTCGCCGCACAAAATTAATGGCTATCTGCCAATCAGATAACATGTTTTATGCATGAGTAGCTTTAGACACCACCATAATTATACGACAAAACACCATAATTACGTTTAATGCATACGATATTTAGGCCTTGGAAAAAAGATGCTGTGTTTCCGATTTTAGTCTTGAAAAAATAGGGTCGGCAAGTAAGGATTTTTCTCCTTTTTTTTCTTTTCTTTTTTCTTTTTTAGATTTTGGCTGTAGATAAACCTGAAATGCATCAGGTCCAGGGCTATCTCCAGGACCTGTCATTCCGTTTACTTGTTGAAATTAAAGGGACAATTTTTCTCTCCTCCCGATATAGCTCTATTCAATAAAAATTTGCTTCTGAAACGGCGATAAAATAACCGTTCAAAGTGTTTTGAAAAATTCAGACGTTAGGTAAAAAAAAGGATGGGTTGTCGCGGGGTTTTGCTAGGAAACCGGAATTACAACCTTTAATTTTCCCCAAAGACCTCCTCCCACCTTCCGCATACTACTAGTAGGAATGATTAGACTTTCATCCCACAACGGGCTACGGAGATAATGATATATAAATATAGAATACAACACGGTGTATTCCGTATCGCCCGAGGTACCAGCCCGACCGCGCGTCGGATCGCCCGACGGCCGAAGGCCGGAGGGAGATCCGATCCGCGGGAGGGCTGGGACCGAGGGTGATGCGGAATACACCGTGTTGTATTTTATTTATGTCATACCCACCCAAGAAAACACGCCTTTCAATGCAAGATGAGCCAAAAGTTGGTGCCACTAAACCCTAAAATGCAACAACATCAATTCCAACGTCCGGATTCTGCATTCGAATTTTCGAAAGCGTTGCACGCGGTTAGGGCGAAACGCGTTCGAATCGTTCTATGGAACATTTGGAAGGCCCGGGCCGTACGCGTTAAGAACCCCCGGGCCGTACCGCTAGTTATCACACGGGCCGGAATACCCGTATCGAACGTAATCGCGGCCCAGGTAGGACATAAAATACAAGCTCAGTTACTCATATAGGTCACACAAAGAACATACGATGCAACACATCAGAATGTTTTATTTTTTCCCTGTTTCATAAAATGCTCTAGTAAAATGCCGTACAATAATCTAGTAAAACTTTTCACAGTTAAAAGCATTTCATATACATATACAACGATATGATACATAATACAACAATTCATTTGTCAGGGGAGTCATTAAAATTTCAGACAGGGATATAAAATCAACGTGCTGTAATTGTCTCATAAATATTAATGAATATATTAATCATGTCTTGTGATATGTTCTCATTCACGCTGCGATAGATAATACATGTATGTCTACAACAATTCCACAGCAAAACATGTAATTTCACTAGAAATACCGCACGTCGCGTATCATATACATACACGCATACCCACCAGACATGCCAGACCGTATATGTGAAAAACCGTACGTTGGGGGAAGGACTTAATATATGACAGTATTTGCATATTCAATATAGATCGCTGTGACCCCACGTCCACAAATATACCTGTACAACATCAGACTGATTACGACACATTAGTGCTAAAAATAAATAACAGACAACATCTGGTGGAAATCTCAGACCTAGTACACCTCACACGTACGTCCATTTGTTAAAAAAAAATCATTTTTCTAGTAAAATATACGTCTGAAGCATTTTTGGTAGACTAAGACTGTTGGCCCCCTCTGGTAGGTACCGTGGTCCTAGAGCAGCTCTGACGGCAAGTCTGCAGTGTTCCACCAGGCTTAGTGGTTCTCTGAGACGCTGGCGTAGCGGAGAAAACACCGTGTGTTCTGGGGAGACCCGGACGAGGGTAGCCTGGTAACTGTTAGGCGGTGAGGCTTCGATAAGGGCCCGCGCACAGTCTAGATACTTGGTGTCGAGTTGCACAGGTATTCTCGGATCGACCGGCGGCGGCCCTCGTACACAAACATCCAGGGGCGTGGCCCCGGTAGCGTCCGTTAAGGTGGGGTCCGCCCCGTACCGCAGCAGAACGTTGACGCAGGGAAGACTACCCAGCTCCGCCGCCTTGTGTAGAGCAGTACGCTGCTGATCTAGGTGACAGCTACGCTGGTTCACGTAGTCTCCCAACCCCCTCACCTTCTTACTATGCCGTAGGATCAGGTCCACCATCTCCGGCTGTTCCCGGGACACAGCGTGGACGATAGCCGGACAACAGTTGCCCCCGTCCTCGAGCACCTTCCCCGGGTACTTCTCGATCAGCGCCCGGACGTAGTCGGGGCAGTAATCCGTGATGGCCAGCCGCAGTGCCTCGCTGGGGGTCAGTTCTCGATCCTCCTCCTCCTCCCAAAGAAATTCCTCTTCCTCCAGAGTCAAGAGATGTAGAGGACGCTGGTGAAAAGGTATCTCCTGGAGGGTCAAAAGCATCTTGTTGTTACCGGTCTTGTTGTAAGGGAAAGACGGAGAGGTAGCAGAGCGTAGACAACGGCCGGACCAGCAATGGTTACCACTGTGTAAATACGGCGTGAAGACGTCATCAGCCGATGGAGGGGCGTCCGCCAATGAGAGCGCGGCTAACATAGCAGGTGCATGGCAGACCCCGTCCTGTGCCATGCCTGGCTGAACACAGATGCGGGCACCAGATTAGATGTTGGGCGATACCATATACAGAGCCGGATGGGTGGTAAAACAACGGGGACACTTGAAACCAGTCCTTATGGTGGGCCAAATGCCATAAATGGACAGCGTTCAAAATAGCGCACGCCACAGTCGAAATTTAAATATTTGCTGGCCTCCGCGGTCACTGCTTTTGCTCAAACTCCCTTTGCATCAAAATATGGTACAGATAGTTACAATAGTGTCGATAGCCTGACAATAAAAGACAGGTAAACAGGTGACGCCATCTTGTCACTACCTGAAAAGTGATTCGAACGATAACGGCTGTTTTCACGGTTGCTATGGTAGAGAGAGAACGTACCTATTACGTCATTCTCACCGCCGTTCTATGTGTTCCACATCCACCACAATACCTGTATTATAACGTTGTACAATATGTCCATCGAAAAGGACAGAAATTGCAAGAAATTGTACTGTTTCCTACACTTCGAATTCACGCCAAAATTAAGACTACACATTAAAATTAGATTGCTTCCAAATGACTTCAGGAAAGATCACCAGTTTCAACTACTGGAAACTAGAAACTTAAGGTAACATTTGTTAAGCAAATGCATAATGTTTACCTTCACATGGTCTAACAAACTACTACGTGTACTCTGTTTATTCTTACTCAAACACATTCATGTGCATGGTGAACAGCACCTCCAACTCTTACTACATCAATATAATGAAACTCATAACCATAAAGTATCTGACCTTATTTGTTTGGAACGGAAGAAGTAAAAATGGAGCAAAAAATGTTTTCCTTCTGCGAACGTAACGTCAAACATAATACGGTCCCATCCCCCCACGGCTAAGGTTCAGGATTCGTCTGAACCCAATGTCAAGTATAAGAAGACAAGCAAAACTGATAATATTGACAATGTTTAGACTTTTTCTGTCAGATATTCGTTATGCGAACAATAATGTATGATTGCACTATGTGTTAAACTTAACGAACGTACAGTTGTATTTCTATATCCCAATTGCAGGGTTCTTGTGCCGAAAGAAATGTCGCCAAAGCAAAAAAAAATCACGTCGATGAAGTTTAGACATCCAGATACACAAGGAAATTTTGTCACTCAAGATCATTAAGACAAGCAACTGGATAGATTTTGAAAACTATGTGGCGGGTGCTACTTGAAACGTCTGCCAGTTCTCAACCTATCCAGTCGATTGAACAATTTCTTTTGAATTTTGATAGAGCTGTCCTCTAAAAAAATTCTGCCTGGGTCAAATCGTAATGAAATGATGACAGATGCACACACACAGCACCTGGGAACGAGTTTTATTCACGTCGTCGTCTGTCGACCGATCCACACACTTCATCAGTGATTAAGTTAATTATAGCTACAATTCGGTGTTGTTAGTTTTCACACCTCTTTGTTTGAGGCGTGGTTTGTTTTGACCAGTTGTCGACCAGCCGTCCCGCCCATTTCTCAGACAACACGTCACAGTTGTCGTTAATCAATCACCAATCATTGGACAGTGTTTACACTGCTGAAGACCTACAGTTGATTCGACTGGAGGCTTCCTTTTTGAAAAGCTTGACTACAGACTGCAATTAAAACTATTATCACTAGAAAAGTTACATTTGCAAAGCAAATACATAATGTTTACCTTCGCATATTGTCCTGCTCTGTTAATATTCTTACTCAAATACATTCAGTCTATTAAAAATCCCTACTACCATAAAATTGCAACATTATATGTAACCCAACACCAGTCTGGTTAAGTCAGGTCAGAGGTCACTGTTTATAGAAGAAGAGGAAACGTATACGTAGCAAAAACAATATGTTTTCGTTCAATAAACATAATAAATGGTATGTCAACCCTTCCACGATATCTTATAACGTTAAATTGGTACATTTAAATGGAATAAATATCAATAAACATATCACATAGTTATGTTAAAGGAGGCTTCATTTAAAATAGTAACATTTTTGTTTTCAAAGACTACTGATTCTGATCAGTGGGACTTCGGATGAAGCAATCCAAAAATACATCACCATATATACAAAGTGAGGAATTTGAGGTCCTTTGGTAAATTGACATTACATGAAACGATTAAACACCACCACCAGTACCCCCAACAACAAGAGGAACTTCATAATCTTGGTCAATGAGAGGAACGACTGTTCCTTGACCAGTGCAGGTGACCTGAAGGGGTACAGGGTGTTAGCCAGGGCTGACTTGGCGTGGTCAGCCGCACCCGACCAGGGATGTGGCCCCAGCAGGCGGTACTGGACTGAGAAAGCGGGGCCGAAGTAGCAGAGGAAAG